GTCATTCAAGTTATAATGTGGAATTTTCGTCTTCTTATTATCTTCAGTATTCTATTTATTCTGGTTTCAACCGAGAGAATAAAACGTCAAGGAGGCGGTGGCGGCGGTGGTGGTGGAGGTGGAGGTGGTGGTGGTGGAGGTGGAGGTGGCGGATTTGGCGGGAGTTCAGGAGGTAAGAAAAATGGTTATCCCAAATCTGATCGAAAAGTAAAATGTCGAACAATGAAAATGCAGAAAAATGTCACTAAAAATCTATCAAAACATAAAAAGATCAAACGATAATAATTTCGAAAATAAAAAAGTTGAGATGTAAAATGTCAACAATATTTTGTTTATCGAAGATAATGTTCGAATGTATGTTAGGGTGTAGGGTGTCTGTAGCTGTATCATGTGTATGTCGTCCACACCCACACCCACCTAGCCAAAACGAATATTTTTCATGATTTGTATGAGACTATGTTTGTTTCTAATTTAGGTTCGAGTGGCAGTAGTGACTTATCAACTGGCGCGATAGTTGGAATTGTTATCGGTAGTATCGCTGGATTTTGTTTATTTATGATATGTTGTATTTGTATTCGAGTATGTATACTCGGTCCAAAGTCCTTGTTCAAAGGTAAGCCGTTACGTTCAAACAGTAGTTACATTCGTCGTGGAACTTCTATGCAAAATGGCATGAGTAATGCAGTTTTTAGATCAGGTACATATGCAACTTATTATCATCAATATAACTTGGAACATGGACCGTCTGATGTCAAACTTGGATTCTATCCACAGGCTGATTATCGTGTTCATGGTGGAGGAGTTGATGATATTGGTGCATATGTTATTACAGGTGTTTATTCACCAAGTACTCTACGAATGGGCCTTGAAAAACATTATCAACTAGGAACAGGAAATCCATCCGAAAACTTAGGTCACACAGTGACAATTCAAGTAGAATGGGACGCTTCGAATCAGCAATTTATTGGTAAATATTATCTTCGAACGTCTAAACATCACGATCAAAATACGTTTATATTGAAATTAAAAAGTATTAAAAGTTTTCATTCACATACAATTGAATCTTATGTTTAACTAACATAAATATACAACTTTTAAATTTTATAATTTATGTATATATATATACAGTAAAACCTCCTTAATGTGAATGCCATCGGGACCGAAAGAAAGTGTTCACTATAGAGAGCTAATATATAATATAGCGTGAAATGGAAGAAATCTTAGAGTATTTGCATATGCCTATGAGTAGCTGCTTAATTCAAGCTCGAATATAAACGAATCTTAAAAGAAGAAAAACTAATATCTATTTCTAGCAATAGATTTAGTTTTAGAATAATTTTCAGATAAATCTCCCTCACCCACTTTGCCACCTTCTTTCACCCACCCCTTAGTCATATATATGAATTATATACATCTTAGAGTAACACTAAACCTAAAACTGAATCTATTCCTAAATTTCATTATTTATTTCAGAATTAGTAGTGTGCAGTCGGATATCTATTAATATTCGAATTCGAATTAGGCAGCTCATCAAAACATATGACAGAAACTAGAAGAGGTCAAAAAAGCAACATATATCAAGGGCGGCGGAACGTGTTGAAATCCGGTGAGGCTCAAAAGTAGCTTTTTACATATTAGCACAAGACAATATAAATGAAGTATAGGTGATTAGCCGCTGTTAGATTTTTTTGTTATCAAAAAATTAATGCGTTTAATTTATTCCGTCTTCGATTAATAGAGTTTCTAGCTTTCTACAGAACGATAAAGTTTTCAAAAAAAAGATGCAGATCATTTCTTTAACACTAGAATACTGAACCAAAAGAAGTTTGTCTTTTTTCATTTGATGATATGAATTTGAACATGATTTGATTTGGATCAATTTTATCAAGTTTTTCTTTGCAAATATGTAGTAGTAAACAATGGTTGAGACGTTGTTGATTCATCGAAGGGCGAAGTATATTTTTTATTCTATTTAATGCGCTGAATACAGGTTCGGCTGTGGCAGTCGTAATCGGAACGGTTAGATGTAATTTCAATAATTCATGATATTCTTTAAGCCTAGGATGCAGAATCATCCGTAAAAACGAAAACTTTTCCCCAACGAAGAAAATGAATTATGTATTTTCCGTCAATATTCAAGTAAAATAAATATTTGTTTTTGTATATTATTGTTAAAGAAATGAAAAGAGAGAAGAGACTACGATATGTTTAAAATATACTGTATTCTAGTGAACACATCAGATCATTTATATATAAAATAAAATTTTCATTGAAGCAAATTTCCTTATTATTTCCCTGAAGAAAAAATTTCACAGTCAATAGTTTTTCGAAAATTTTCCTGAGCGCGCGTTCGCGCAGAAGGGCTTATTCTGCACCTCTGGTTTAAACACTTGTCTACTTATTTGACATGCATTTAGACTTTCACAAATTGCTGAAATTTTTGTGATTTGTTTTATGTTCATTTAATTTGTTTTAAATACTGATTAACAAAAATCAAAACTATACGAGCTTCAGCTTTTAACCATTCAACATCAATATCAAACACGTATAAGTCAATGCGCAAAAAAAATATCAAATTCATAATTTCGGTGAGGCTGAGCCTATAGAGGCTAAATTCCGGTGAGGCTCAAGCCTCACAGAGCCTATGGCTTCCGCCACCCTTGACATATATATGTCCCTGGCTAAATTTGCTTTTCTTTCCGCGTGGAAATTCGAATTGTTTTTGTTTTTTGGTTAGAGAAATTCGTAATAATTTCTCAGATAAATAACGTATCAATTGCTTACGAGAAACTTATTTTAAAATATTTTATTGAGTAGACATGATATTCGCACGATCTAAAATGATAAAACTTGCTCAATGAGATAAAAACAATTATTCTACCCACCTCACTCATGAAAAAAACTTTATGATCTTCTTTGAAACAGTTTTCGTTATATTTCGTTTTAGACATCGACCGCACTCTACATCTTTCCAAAATTTATTTTATTTTCTATTGAACACAACTTGCGAACTTTACATCTTCCTAAAACTATATTCAATTTCAATTGAATACAACTTACGAATTCTAAAGTTTTGTAAAATATAAAACTATGATAAGAACTGAATTATTTTTTTACTTTTTTTAAAATTTAGTTTAATTTTACCTAAATCTTAATTCTGTCTGACATATATATGTTCATATTGGACAGTTGACAATACCAGACAGGACCGAAAAAAAGCGTTCACTGCTCAGAATAAAGAGGTGTTCATATTGGAAAGATGCATTTTCAGCAAAAATCGCTCCGTCGGACCTAAGACCGTTCATAAAACAGAGGTGTTCACTACTAGAGGTTTTACTGTATATATTCTTTTTTTTCTCTCTCGTCATTCTTATATATTGTCTCGTCTTGAAAATGACATTTGATATGTCGAAACCTCGACTTGTTTAAATAAAATTAAATAAATTAGCTGCTGTTAATTTATCTTTTAAAAGTTTATCTGTTTTTTGATGTATTTGCATTACTTCAAAGTGAACTAACTCATGAGTCTTTATACATAATGACGTCTATGTCTTCATATATGTCGAATGGAACGCGTAGAGATAAGGAAAAATTAATTTTTTGCATTTTTCTGCAGATGGGTCCAAGTGGACCCTACGATAGCCATCAATTACAAAAATGAGGACAGCCACGATGGGTTAAATGACGTTAATGGTTCGGCAAAGGAAGAAGCTATGCAATATAAAGGATATACAATGCTATAATAAATATTAGTAATTTTCATCAGCTGATGATCATGACTTTTATTTTTTGTTAGTTGATAGGAAAAAACTGATCAAATATATACATTCATATGATCAAACGATTACTCATTCGATACATGCAAATACTTGGATTGAAGGGAAAAAACCAACTTGTATGATTTTTTTATTTATCATTGATTCACCAAAGATCCCAACACATTACTTAGATTGTACCGCTCTTTGTTTACCTCGGGCGTCATCGTTGCTCTACACTTCGCTGAATATGTGAAAAATATTTTCTTTTTAGATAAATGATGGACTTTTCGTATTGACTAATATACATATGTCATACCTATACTTATATTATCTATTCAAGCGTAGTTCCCAATTACGTCAGTACACAAGTATAAATATGTAGTCGATATTTATTCATTCTGTCTCACCTGTATATACAATAACTGAGTCACATTCCGTCGGTCTTTTTTCTTACATACTATCATATTTGAATCGATGGTCATTCAAGTTATAATGTGGAATTTTCGTCTTCTTATTATCTTCAG